ACAATTCAAAAATCCAAAAAATAGATTTATATATATATATATATATAATTAAAGAATCTAAACACAAGACGATATTCGAAAGAAAATCTAATATTCCTGATCGTTCTTGAAGAAAAAATGCTATTTTAACTACAATGATTTTTTTTTTCTGTTTAAAACTATTTTATTTATATCATTCTTTAGCTTTCGGCTACAGTTACAACAGCTTTAGATATAAGTAGGTGAAGAAGTTTTTATGATTATAACCAAAACCTTGTGATTAAGAAAAGGTCTAGATTAAATCATCATTCTTTCTCATGTCATGTGATTTATATCAACTCTTAATTTATAATTGTAAGTAAAAATAATAGTAAATCGCGACATTTATTCAAAACCTAAGGCTCGCGAATAAAACTTTGTTTTAAATACCTTGACCAGAATACAGAAATGTATATACCACCTGCAGCGCCACCTAGGATACTTACAAACGCCTTCCCACCTCGATAGTTGCACGTGCTGTTGATCTACCATTTAAATTTCACACACAATATAACAAGAGCGTTCCTTGGGAGTATTGTAGATGGTAAATAAGATTAACATTAGATAAGTGAAATATATTTATAGCGTCAATAGCAGGTTTGAGACTTAAACTCTGGTAAGCACGTAGACATTTTGTTGTAATTAATAAATCTGAAAATTTTAAACAGTTGTTTGATTGAGAATTTCACGCAAAATCTATACAAGTGCTATCTGAGCATATTCTTCCCTAATTTAGGTTTGTTTGCTTGTTTGTTTTTAAGTTGAGTACAATGCTACACAGTGGGCTATCTGTGCTCTGCCCACCATGGGTATCGAAACCCGGATTCTAGCGTTGTAGGTCCGCAGACATACCTCTGTGCCATTGGGGGCCCCTAATTTAGGACATACGAACTAGAAAAGGCAGCTAGCCAACAGAATCGGCGATGAGACTCATAGAATAAAAAATTGGATTCACATTATAAGCACGCTAACCATTAGGCCACGCTCTGCCCAATTTAAAAGAAAGCGAACGTTCATTATCATAATTTTGAAGTGACAATTTGTATGATTATTTGGTAAAGTTACTTTAAAATGTTTGCATTATTATATAATCATTCTAAGCAGATATAAAGAGGTTGTCGCTGTTCAGTTTTCTCCATGTAGTCGGTGATTTGATATAGCTCAATGCTATGTGGTGTATGCATTAACAAACGTGCTGCGAAAGGACTCCGCAATTGGAAGGAGGAGAGCCTGTATCTTGGTCGGTGTTAAACTCCTCTAACGCGTAAATGAATAAACAGACGTAAACCTGTGCGCTATTTTTTTTCAATGAATAAAATTCACAAAGTAAAGTTACTTTCAATATTCACCAGATGGCGAAATCTTAAAAGTCCTTTAATCTTTAAATGTTTGTTTTTAACCTTAATCTTTAGAGATGTAAGGAATGAGATATGAATAAAAAAATAGAATGTTTATATTTAATTTAAATATTTCAAATAATATCTATTAAAAAAAATTGAGAATTAACACAAAATCTTGTAATAAACAAAGGAATGGTCAGTCATTACAAATAAAAATCACAACATCTAAAGTTAGCGTGCCACATTCTGGCACCATGTCACTATATGTGAAACTGAGTGTTTCGGAAAATATAGAATTCTCAATGTTGAAATATACTCTGATACATTTATTATTGTTTTTGGTCCAGGTGATGGTGAAGATGAAGATGGAGGCAATGGTGACGAAGAGAAAATGCCGACTTGTTCTGATTACATTATGCATTTCTTTACACTCTTCTGGAAAATTATTTTTGCTTTTGTTCCTCCTACAGGTAAGTATCAGTTGGGGAATGCAGCTGCGCGTTAGTTTATCTAATTATGGAAGAGAAGTCATACAGAAAGGTTTAGAAAAAACTTTACAAATATTCAATACAGATTTTAAATAATCACCATTCTAGTGGATGAATATTAAATCAATGATAATGGTAGTATTTGATATAAAGAAACTTACGGACAACGTGGTCCTTCAAGGCTGTCCCTTCACATCCATGTTCTATTTTTCGGGAATTTATCGATCCCCCTCCCTCGTTTAAACTCTTGTAGAGTTTCAGCTTCCATTCCTGCCCACGGCAACTCATGTCATAAGTCAATCACTCTGTTAGAAAAATAAAACTCTCTTAGCCTGTCTTTTTTTCCCCCAATCTTAAAGTGTGACATCTTATCTTCAGAGTATGACACAAAGAAATCACAGGTTTTTGTCTATAAACTTCCAGATAAACTCGTAAACTTCAATAATATTACTCTTGCCTTCATTACCTTTCTTTTCTCAAGAATTTACAATAAATAAAGATATCTTAGCCTATCCTCCGTCCATGGAATCATCCTAGCAGCCTTCTTCTGAACCCTTCTCAATAAGTCAATATCCTTCCTTAGGTAAGGAGAATAAAACTGTACGCATTATTCCAAGTTATGTCTGACTAGTGCACGTCCCGGCAACTCGAGAATTATTTAACAATAAAGGAATAATTCAATATTTATCTAATACTATTTGCACTTTTAGAAATAAATTAGAAAAGCGAAAGCAGGCTAAAAAAAGATATTATTTATTTGGTGAAAATTTATCATATTTTAATTCACAATGTAAAATAATATAGGGCCAACTAATGACCGAATATAGATAGATAAATAAATATGGTAGAAACACTGTATTTGCACTAGTTCTCTTTATGCAGCATTATTAATGTAACCTTTCTAGTTCGGATCAGTTCTGGACAACATGATAACATCAAATTCTCAGTATTAAAGTCTATCTTGTCTTTTGTGTTTGCTTTTCTCCGACAGACTACGTGGATGGCTGGCTTTGCTTTGTTTTTTCAATTATTGTTATCGGTATCCTCACCGCCTTCATCGGTGACTTGGCTTCCCACTTCGGATGTACTCTGGGTGTCAAGGACTCAGTGACTGCTATTGTCTTTGTTGCTTTGGGTACGAGCGTTCCAGGTAAGAAAAATGGTGTTTCATTTAGTCATTAAGGGATGGGTTGTCATTCGAAATTAACATTAGAAATTTTGATTATTTTTTTGGTTGCGATTTAACACATTCTTTTTTTTTATATTATCATCAATTACGACTACTGCATTATAAGAAATGCTAAATATTATAGCATGGTTACTCTCTAATTATGTATATCTGTTTAGCAGCGCAACACACTGATCTTAGTAATATTTATTCTCCAAACATCGAACACCGTTATAAAAGTAAAACAAATCGCCATCTAGTTTTCAACCTTACAACTTCAAGAATTCTAGCTTACTGCGTAGATTAGATTATTTTCAATATATATTGTAAGCTGAAAGCTAAACAATCTTCGTTTCAAATCAGTCGTTTTGATGATTATTATATTAAAAAAACACTAATATCATATCATCCTAACCAGTAACTCTGGTAATTAATTAACAAAATTAGCTCAGTTTGAACTTTTTTTCTCTACCACCTCAGTGACTCAAGTTCTGTGTTTTTTTCTTTTCGAAAATATTGTTTTTTGTCATCAGTTATCAGCCCTCCTTGTAAACGGTGAACAAGATACAATATAATTAGTTTGTGAAATGAAATGTTCAAATGCTTATTTTCTGAACCTTTCTAGATCATGAATAATCGAATAGGCACATAACGTTAACACGTTACGTCTCTCGTTTTTTAACTCATCGACTTTGGATAAGCATGTGAAGAGTTTTAAGAAATATAGGAATTTTCCAAAAATATATAAAAATAAAAACAACATTTGCAAATGTTTTAAAATTTAGCTTTATCTTCAGTCATTGATACTCCTCCCCTTCCCCCAACAACAACATTAAATATTTTTTTTTATTCTTTAGGCAAACATAAACGTATATAAAATGTATTTATGCAAATTAAATCCCATTTACTTTTACTAATTGTTTCCGCTCTTGCGCACAACCTTGAGGGTTACGTTGTAGCAAGTTAGGCCTAATCCGTGTGTTTTCGTGTGAAACCACATTCACGTGGAACGTACATGGTAAAGTTTCCCTTGCCACTTCAAAAAGATTTTATGAGCTCTGCCGTAAGCTCACGGTAAGTTTAAAGTCTTCCATTGCTACAGTACAAATATTTGTAACAGATGCACGACAGTCTAAAGGATAGTTCGTTTTGAAGTTTTCTCTTGTAACTTTTTTTACAGGTTTAAATTTTTTTTGAGTAAACTAAATCTGAAGGAGTTTTACGCTTATTTTTTTATTTAACATAAGATAAGAAAATTCTGTAACCTGTTGCCAATTTACTTTCTAAACAAAGCAGCTGTTGAAGCAACTGGTGAATATTTTTTTCTCAATTTACATATAGCGCCATCTGTTAGTTTGGTTTACTACTATATGCAGAGATTAGTGAAATCTTGAGTATGAATTACGAATGTCGATTTGCCGAAATGTTTCCGAAATATGCTATCTTTCGACATTTCACCGTTTTTGTTTTCAGATTTCTTCGACTGCATTATATCTTAAAATAGTATTGTACTCACGTATCGTGTAACTTGTTTAAATTAGAGATCTGAAAATGGTATAACATTCCTATTACTCTATTAAACAAAGAAGGGACACGACATTTCACCAAGTTAACTCAGAATTTTTAAGAGTAAAGGAAAAATAATCTATGTATATATATATGTGTGTGTGTGTGTGTATATATATATATATGTGTGTGTGTGTGTGTGTGTGTGTGTGTATATATATATATGTGTGTGTGTATATATATATATGTGTGTGTGTGTATATATATATATGTGTGTGTGTATATATATATATGTGTGTGTGTATATATATATGTGTGTGTGTATAT